GTGCTGTGTGCATGTGTGGGGGTGGGGGTGCTGTGCTGTGGAGTGGGATGCTGTGTGTGTGTGTGTTGGGAGGTGCAGGGTGCTGTGTGTGCATGTGTGTGTGTGCGGGGTGGGGGTGCTGTGCTGTGGGGGTGGGGGTGCTGTGTGTGTGTTTTTTTGGGGGTAGGAGGTGCTGTGTGTGTGTGTGTGTGTTGGGGGGCGAGGTGCTGTGTGTGTTTGGGAGGTGGGGGTGCTGTGTGTACTTGTGGGGGTAGGAGTGCTGTGTGTGTGGGAGTAGTGGTGCTGTGGGGGGTAGGTGTGCTGTGCTGTGGGGTTGGGGTGCTGTGTGTGTGTTGGGGTAGAGGTGCTGTGTGTGGTGGGGTAGGTGTGTGGGGGGTAGGGGTGCTGTGTGTGGGGGGTAGGGGTGCTGTGTGTGTGTGTGGGGAGTAGGGGTACTGTGTGTTTTGGGAGTAGGGGGGCTTTGTGTGTGTGGGGGGGTAGGGGTACTGTGTGTGTGGGGGGAGAGGGTGTAGGGGTGGTAAAAAAAAGGTATATTAAAGGGACAATATAGTCACCCAGACCACTTCAGCTCAATGGTTTTAACCCTTTAGATGCAAACATAGCAGTTTCAGAGAAACCGTTATGTTTACATTTGGGGTTAATCCAGCCTCTAGTGGCTGTCTTCCGGACAACCACTAGAGGCGCATCTGAGACGCTGGATGCGAATTTCGCATCCATCACGCAGAACGTCCATAGGAAAGCATTTAGAAATGCTTTCCTATGGACACTTTGAATGCGCGCGCAGCACTTGCCGCGCATACGCATTCGGCTCCACTGACGTCGGAAGGGGGAGCTGACGTCGGTGGGGGAGGAGAGGTCACCAACGCCGAGGGAACCCGGTGCTGGATTAAAGTAAGTAACTGAATGGGTTTTAACCCTTCAACGCCACGAGAGGGGGACCCTGAGACTGACACTATAGTGATCCTTTAAGGCCATAGGTTCGCCATCACTGCTCTGGGGGATTTTGGTAGGCGGAATATCCCATCAATCATTAAGTTTTTGGCCTGTGTCGGTGGTAAAAGCGAGGCCACCAAGCGCCTCAAGTAATGTGGCAGTTTGTCTGTTGCTACGGTCTCAGGTACACCGCGTATATTTTAAAGGAACACTATAGTCACCTAAATTACTTTAGCTAAATAAAGCAGTTTTAGTGTATAGATCATTCCCCTGCAATTTCACTGCTCAATTCACTGTCATTTAGGAGTTAAATCACTTTGTTTCTGTTTATGCAGCCCTAGCCACACCTCCCCTGGCTATGATTGACAGAGCCTGCATAAAAAAACCCAGAACTTGCAATAAAGAAAGCCTAAATAGGGCTCTCTTTACAGGAAGTGTTTATGGAAGGCTGTGCAAGTCACATGCAGGGAGGTGTGACTAGGGTTCATAAACAAAGGGATTTAACTCCTAAATGGCAGAGGATTGAGCAGTGAGGCTGCAGGGGCATGTTCTATACACCAAAACTGCTTCATTAAGCTAAAGTTGTTCAGGTGACTATAGTGTCCCTTTAATTGTTGTGTCGAGCGTGGTGTTCCAGGGCAGCAAGGAGCACGGTTTGCTCTTGTTGCGCCTTTTGTTTTTTCAGGACAAAAAGGGCTTTCTTTACATACCATTATTTCTATCATGTCATATAATTACATTTTTAAAAAATAATAAAATATGGTGAAAAATCGAAAACAAACATCTTTTTTGACTTTTACTTGAAAAATCTTTTACTCGTCTACAAAAGTTAATAAAAAAACTGCTAAATAGATTCAAATTCTTTTCCTGAGTTTTTTTGCTTTTTTTTGCAAGTTATAGGGCTATAAGTACAAGTAGGATATTGCTGTTTCAAAATATACATTTTTTAAATGTATCAACAGTGACATTGTAACACTGTTATCTGTCAGAAATCTCTGAAAAACACCCCACATAGTACATATTTTTTTTTTAAAGTAGACAACCCAGGGTTTTCATCTAAGGATATTTTGACACTTACTATGCAGCCATGTTACCACCAATCTTTGCCAAACTTTGCATAGGTAGTGTATTTTTTTTCAAATACATTGCAATTCAGGTATCAATTCACAGCTCATGTAATGTGTTGCTGCCAAAAAACACACTAATATGTGTTTAGCAACATCTCCCGAGTACAGTGATAAATGCATAGGCTTGTCGGGTTGGTAGGGGGCCGAAGGTCACATTTGACAGGTGCGCACATGGGCGTAGGAACCCAAAAAATCTGGGGGGATATCATTTTTACTCGCTGGGTATATTTTTATTCCGTAAACTAGGAGTTGTTTATCCCATTGTACAGTGCTACGGCATTTGCTGGCGCTTTATAAATGATAAAATAATAACATTAAAGGGTCACTACAGGGAAGGGGATTTACTTACCCAGATACAGCGCCAGGATCCTATTGATGCCGCGCCCCCTATTTCGTCAAAATGACGAAATAGGAGGGTGCGAGCAGGAAGCAATAAAACACTTCTATTCAGAAGCGTCATTGCTCCCTGGTGCGCATGCGCAGCTTTGCCACACATTTTTGACCGACCGCTCAGCCCAAATCTATGGAACTGTTTTGGGCATGAAAATGTGCTTGCGGTTGGTCATAAAGGACTTCCGACTAACTTTTTAAGCCCTGGAAGGAATCACCTGAATTTTGGATATGTGTGTAATTAAAGAGTGCTGAATAATAATATGTAGTTTTTATGAATATTGACTGTTTTAGTTTTAAAGTTATAGTACATGTGTAAAAACTGTATTTCTCTGCCTGTGATAATTACATTAACATTAACATTGTGTTCAGTAATTATATCACAGGCAGAGGGGAGGATTTTGTGTGTAATTGCTGGGCGTGTCTGAGTGTATTGTACGTATTAATTGGTTGTTCTGCAAAACCCTGTGGGCAGTACTATATGTGTAAAATGTACATAAAAGCACTCCTCAATTTGGAGTGCCGTCTCTTATTGGGGGAATCTGCTACAAGGGATTGCTATGCTAGTCATACTCCCTTGCAATATCACTTGTAAGAGCTTGTTCCTGCCTTGCTCATTGAAGGAGTCTACAGTGGTTATGGTGTCAGTTGGAGTGCTGGGAGCCCTCAAGAAGCATTAGGAGCATCCTTCAACGGAGGTACCCAGTCGGGCTGCCAGGGGATCCATTACATGGAGGAGGAGAAGAAACTGTCGATTATCAACGGTGTCAAAAGCAGCGGAAAGTTTATGGAGAATTGGACTGGGAGTTAGGGTCAAGGATTGGCATTTTAAAAATCGGGATTACAGTTGCATGTTTGAAGGGTGATGGAAATATGCCAGAGAAGAGGGAGAGATTGAGAATTTTAGTGAGAGGCAGAGCTAGAGAAGGAGACAGAGTACGGATGAGATGCGAGGGAACAGGATCAAGGGAGCAGGTGGTGGGTCAAGAGGACTGGAGTAGAGCAGAAAACTCTTCTGCTGTAGCAGATGCGAATGAACATAGAACAGCAGAGGGAGTGGGGTTGGGGGGAAGTATTGTTAGTATTTTTGCAACACACGGGCGCTTTTTGGGTTATCATATACAGATGATCGGTAACTACATTATCATTGTGCCAAGGTTTAGGATGAAAGTAGTTCACAAAATGAGCCACATTCATGACAGTAAATCAACTTTTCCACAACCACTCACTTATTATTTTGATAAACCTCTAGCACTACTAAACATACAAGTTTATTTACTATGGCTCTGGTTTTTTTTGTTTGTTTTTTTTTGTAAAGAAGGACTTTCTATGTCATTTTTGATCACTTTCTCAATTTATGCAGTTACAAAGTTAGTAACAAAAAAAAAGAAAGTATACATTTCATATGCACTGCAATTCCTAAGATCTGCAATACATCTCCTTGGAACTATAGTGGAACAGTATTGTAAAAACGGTTCTTGCAAGGCCTTGAGAGGTAAAAAACCATTTGGACAAATATATATGTGAGTATTACTAGCTGTACATTTATGCAAGTGGTTTCAGTGAACAGAAGCATAAAACAGGATAACTACTATATGAAACAGCTGGACAGGGTGGGGGTGGAAAAAATGCATGTAGATTTTTTAAAAACGTTGCATCATTAGGCCTCCTTAAAATGTCTAAAAATGGAGGGCACTGTTTGTTTTAGGTCAAATTAGAAGCAGTCAAAATCAAGTTAACTCTTCAACGCTCAACTATTTTGACTTTGTAATTCTCTTGTGAATTCCAAAAAATGTTTAAAGTTGCACAGTGTAGGTTAGCTGATACCTGTTGTACATTTAAAGAGTATTTTTCCTGCAGTACAAATGTAAAGTGCAGTACTGTGAGGATTTTTTTGTGCTCAAACTATAGCAATTAAGTGACATTTTTGATAAATGTCATTTTATTTTCACAAAACAGGTGAGACATTGTATCTGTTTTGCTATCTGTTGGAGTGGATTGTTTTAACAATATTTAGTGTTTGTGCCTAACAGTTATTTCTTTGTCAACATTTCACCGAGTGCGTAAATTATATTGTCAGGTGATACACTAAGTGTCATGATCATCATTTATAATAGAGCTTAGAATAACCTACAAAAGGTAAGAAGTAAAGTGAGTCTATGGCTAGAATGTAAACTGGTGTTAGCAAGCCTCAAACCACGTGAAAAAGCTCACGTCCTGACAGTGAAAACACCTTTTCTATTTTTGACCAATGACCCAGTATTGTTTGGATCTTTTTTATATTTATATTTGCACAACAATGTTTTTTCAAGTCATACTGGTAATGTGGCCAGTTTAAACCAGATTCATTTGTTTTGAGCTGGAACAGGTAAAAAGAATACGATTTCAGATTTTTGTTTGATTTTTTTTTTATATATATTTTATATATTTCTTAAACCTAGAATTGTGGAGAATTGGCACTTTTTTTGTAATTCTTTATTTTTGATGGGCATAAAAGGTACATGCATGCAGGTAATGCCACAACAGCATATGGTGGCAACTCAAAGAAAACGGTATTATGGCAAATACTGCACAATTTTTATAAAAAACATGCTTGTAAGAAACGTTGCCCAGTTTATATCAGAAAAGGAAAACAAGATATGCCTGCCGATAATAGTTGGTATTTGATTAATCTGAGACATGTACTGTTGTCAATGTGGACTTCAAGCATTTATGATTAAACAGGTACTGTCGAAGAACGAAAATTATATGAACACGTCTAAGCAGTGTACTTTGACACACGAGTATTAATAGAAAGATTTCAAACATGCTGCAGGCATAAGGGAAAAAGAAGAGGGAAAAAGAAGACAATTGGATGTTCACAGAATAGAGAAAACATATCACACATATCAGTATTATAAGCAAGGAGATATCTATAAGGTATGTATATCTATAAGGTACATTATATTTATATATTGCCTAGGTTGTACAGGCTATGACTCTGGTGAGCTAAGCTAGGGAGGAAATTCTGTACAGGGCAATAGATTAGTTCCCTCTATGCCCCAGGTGGGCCATGGTTTGCAGTCCAGCTTCTTGCCGCAACTGATGGGATCGCCGACCCAGAGACAGGCACAGACGGGAGACAGACGAGGGGCCTTCTCCTGGCCCAGTTTACTGCTGCTCCTCAACGTGGTAAGGTCCATGCTGTGCGGGCTTGCTTGTTGATGGGTGACTGGCATAGTGTGTCGCTGATGTTGTGCTGTCTTCCACATGTGTGGATGGTGCTTCAGGGATTGACGCCTTGTGGTCTGCAGCCCAGGAGGGCCAGCACAGGTGGTGACAGGTGCTGGTAGGATCGCTGAGCCCGAAAGGAGGCCCCCTCACTTCCTGCCTCTCCTTCCATTGCTCATCTCCATGAGGTAGGGATTGTGAAGCTGTTGCCCGTGCCTCCAATGCTGCCCAAAAATTGCTTCTAACTTCAGCAAGGAGCTTTTGATGGAGCAATGCTGGGTTGGTGACAGGTTGTCAGTGAAGGCAAGCTGGTGAACAATGACATTATGTATTATGCTGGCACAGTGGGGACCAGGATGACCACCACCAGTCCATGAGGGGAGAAAGGGAGAGCAAGAGAATTCTGTGCCGAGGCAGGGCTACACTGATTAGGAGAGCAGCCGCCTCCCCCTCCCAATGCCTGCACTAGACCTCACCTGGAGCCCCGTGTAAAATAAACAGCACTTCATAAGTTCTGCCCAGGACTCTCATTCGTTTTAGAAGGCAGTCACTCCTGGTGCTAATTGAGACTGCCAGAGGTAGATTATTTTGAGGAATGCAGTAGTTAACTGAGGAGCACTGTCAAGATGTGTCTGGCTGCCATGAGGCTCAGGCCCACCCCCGAGAATTGGCACTTTTAAGGCAAAATTGAAGAATTTGTAAAAATTCTCAAATTAAATTGTTTATCAAGTTCAGTTGTTTTGATCTATAACTTAAGATTCTTTTTGTCGCATCTACCCAAGTATCAGTTTAAAGAATAAAACCAAATAAAGGACTTTATTACCAGAACTTTATGTAACTATTAAAAGATACTTTTCCTATTAGTTTTCTTTATAATAATTGTATTATGTTGTGATCATTGTGAAAATATGTATAATATCCTTCATGGAACTCTAGTGGGAAATTTCATTTTTTTAAAGTTTAACAGTCTTGTTTTCTAGATAAAATTCACTGCGGAGACATCAGCAAACATTCCATTGAAATGCAGAGAAAGGAAAAGCCAACTGATCCATTAAACTCCACTGGCCCGTTCAGTTCAGGGAAGGGGAAATCAATAGCGTTCCTCTTAGTCATCATTTAGATCAAAGAAATGAACATTTCTAGACGGTGGACACTTGGCCCTTCTTGCTTTATGTTGCAGATTCCCATAATCCTTCTACCTGGTGGATTTTGGATGTTTAAATATAAGTAATGGATAAATACAGACAAAGCCTATCCCACTTTGTTTACACATGGATACTGAATGTTGAACCAGTTATAGATGTTTTTATGTACAAAGCTTACCGTGTTTGCACCACGTGTTTACTGAGGTTTTATTACTGTACAAACTAGATTTGAATTGCTGTTTAATAACTTTTCTATGTACTAAATTTGTAAAAGTCCTAAGTGGTTGACAAACACCTTCTCTCTGCATTTTACTATAAAAATCAAATGTTTATATTTTAATCAAAACTTTATCTTAATTTTTCATTGTATGAGCAAATAGCACAAGTCAATCTGAATAAATAATAAATCATAACATACAGCACTAAAAACATTTTAAATATAGGAAGAGTAATAAAAGGTAAAACAAAAGAAGAAAGAATATGTAATAAATAAAAAAAAATGAAATGTTCAAATGATAAGAGATTAAATATATAATTTAAATTTACCATATATTACCCTGAACTTGATTGACATGTGTCTCTTTCCACCTATGTAACCATGTAATTAGAAACTCATATGATAGTATAACTCGTGGTACTTATATTAGGTCACTGTAAAATATGCTGCAGCATCATGACAACAAAATAACAGCTATAACAAAAACTTTTTAACAATGCCAGCTTCCTGCTAGATTATAGGTGTGTGCGTGCCATAAAATCGCACAATAAGAGGAAAAAAAAGAATCTGAGTAAAGTCATTCTTTACATTTTAGTCACTGGGTCACATGATTAATATAGATAAAAACATACGCAATTCTAGGAAATTCTAAACATAGCATTACACCCTAAAGCATTTCACCTCTTCTTACATTTTATTTATTTGTAGATTCAATTTTTTTTAAACTATTATTTATTCATTTGCATTATTTTCTTAGATATCATTGAATCAGTTTATAATTAATGATTTCCGTAATGATATGCACAGAGCAACAAGCTTTCTTTTGTAGTTCAATATTTGACTCATATATTGTGAAAGACATATTGGTGACAACTGTACAATGATTAGTCACAACATTTATGCCATTTGCCTAATATCGTGTAGGTCCCCCTCCTTCTGCCAAAACAGCTCTGATGTGTCATTTTGGTAGTGTGGCAGGGTGCCTCATCCTGCTGAAAGAGGTCACTGCCTTAGGGAAAATCAATGCCATGAAGGGCTGTACGTGGTCTGAAACAATCTCTAGGTAGGTGGTACATGTCACAGTAACATCCACATAAATGCCCGGACCCAAGGTGATTCATCAGACCAGGCAACCTTCCTGCATTGCCCCATGATCCAGTTCTAACACGCACTTCCCCATTGGTAGCCCTGGTCTGTGACTACGCAGCCCATATGCAGCAAACTATGATAACTGACACCTTTCTATCATAGTCAACATTACGTTTTTCAGCACTTTGAGATACAGTAGCACTTCTGTGTGCTTGGGCCAGATAGGCTAGTCTTCGTTCCCCATGTGCATCAATGAGCCTTGGGTGCCAATAATCATTATGCTGGTTTATTGGTTGTGCTTCCTTGCACCATTTTTGGTAGGTACTAACTACTGCACCCCACAAGACTCCATTTTGGAGATTCTCTGATCCAGTCATCTAGACATCACTATTTGGCACTTGTCAAAGTCAATCAGATCTTAATGCTTGGCCATTTTTCCTGCATCCGTCAAGTAGCATACTAAGAGGGAGGCAGGAGAGGGTGGTCAGCCCCAGGTGCCCCTCATCCCTATTTGGTACTTGTCAAAGTCACTTAGATCTTAATGCTTGGCCATTTTTCCTGCATCCATCAAGTAGCATACTAAGAGGGAGGCAGGAGAGGGTGGTCAGCCCCAGGTGCCCCTCATTAATGGGGTGGACTGAGCGGTCGGCACTTCACTCTAGCCCCTGCTTCCAGTGGAAGGGCTCCCTTTCCTCCTGACCCAGCACCTACCTACAAGAATCTTTCCAGTTGGCGTTCCGCATGATAGATGCCTGTTCTTAGGCTTTGCTGAAGATCCTTGAGTTACAGAGCAGTGAGCCAAGGGAGCTGCTAGAAACTCTCTCCACTGATTTGCCAGCTCAAGTCCCTTGCTACTAGAGCCGGGATATGACATCATCAGACCCATTAACAGCACAGAGCTGCAGGGAGCTGGGCTGTCAGCTACCCACTGAACGCCATCGATGAAGCTGAAGGTAAGAACAGGAAGGCTGGATAGACCCCAGTGTTTAAGAAACAAAAACAAAACACTAATATTTGTTAAAGTTAAAATTATAGTGTATGTGGATATAATTATGAGTGTTTATATGAATGTGTATGTGTAAATACTGTTTTTTTTTGCCTTCTTTTGGATCAACAGCAAATAACAAATGTGAGGTAGGCTGAACTTGATGGACGCAAGTCTCTTTTCAGCTATGTAACTATGTAACTATGTAACTAATAAATGAGTCAGTGTGTGTATATGAGCCTGTGTGTGTGTATGACTGTGTCTATGTGCATATGTTTGTGTCTGTTAGTCTGTTTGTGTATTTGTGTATGAGTGTGTATGTACATCACTCTGTGTTTGTCTTTGTGTATTTGTCCATGTGTGTATATTAGTGTCTGTGTGTATAGTGAGTCTATGCGTGTGTTTATTTGCCCGTTTGTCAATCTATGAATGTGTGTCTGTGTATATTGTCCATATGTGTGTTAATTAATGTTAGTACTTGTGAATATGAATGTTAATTGATATAAATGAGTAAATGTATATGAATGTCAAATAGAACGAGCGAGACCACAATTCTTTTTCTCTTTTACAGATTTAGGGGGTTGGGTGTAGTGTCAGAATACCTTTCTTCCACGGGTGCCTTTTGACTTAGGTATGCCTCTGCCTCCAACACATTCAAGAACATTTCAAGAACTGACTGTGCACTTGTTGCCTAATATATCCCACCCCTTGGATGGTGCCGTTAACCTGTCAGTGGTTTTAATGTTGTGGCTGATCAGTGTATAGAAAGTGATCTGTTTTATTCTGAATATTTTTGTTATTAAAGAAAGTATTCTATACACCTACTATGTGTAATGGATCACCTGGCACCCCAACTGGGCACCTCCGTTGAAGGATGCTCCTAGCACTTACAGAGTGCTTCAAGCGCTCCGCAGACACCACAACCACCGCAGACCCCACGAACCGCCGCAGCTTGGTTGGGGTCTCGCCATCTCCTACCCACCCTGGACCTACGACAAGGCTCCAGGTTCCAGTGGGTGAACCTCTCCTCCAAGAGAGTGAAGCAGGAACAAGCTCTTAAAAGAGCTTAGTAGTGATTAGCTAAGGGAGAATGCAGAGCATAGCAATCCCTTGTACTGATATAGCAATTCCCCAATAAGAGACAGGACTCTAGATTGAGGGTGAAGAAGAACTCTCTCAAACTTTATTTTACTTGGGACTAGCCCATATGGTCATTACATTAACATTGCTGTGAAAACTCAATAACATTACAAACAGTCAAATCATAGCAGCAACATACAGTGACTTATTATAACATAATGGCATATTTTTAAAGAGGTGGGGGAGACAATAATTAACAGAAAATATCTCACGTGCCGAGCAATATGCAAATCTACCCGAATCTACCCGAATATACAAATTACCAGTCTTGCTATTCAGTTAGTGCATATTGCTGTTGCTACCAACAGAGGGTACTAGACAAGCTCCATAGCCAAATCCACCTAGTTGGTAGCAAACCTCAGCAGTACAGGAGAGCAGGCAATACATCCCGGGGGCCATAGACACATGGCAGGAGGCTGGCAATCAGTCTTCTCCAATGCCCAGTGGCGAGGCTGGTTCCGCCATACCATGCACTTAAAATATACACACAACCCTCCACTTGTAAAATGTTTCAAAAGAACAGTAGAGGAGGAAAAATATCTCCAAGATAAAGTGACTTTATGAAAACAACTGACTATAGCCTCAATTTAATTTGTCTGAATCAGCATCAGAAATGATTCCAAGTTATTAGAAACCAAATGATTTACCTACAAACATTATTTAATGGCGACTTCTGTAGACAAATCATTTGGAAAGTGTTTCTTACAGTTTGCAATAATATGATAACACAAAAAAGATCTGATTCAGTTCCACAGTGATTATTTCACTTTTACTACTTTGTTGCAGAGTTATTCACTAAAGTGTTAAGTGTCGGGAATTGGGGTGTTTCCAGTTCAGCTATTTTGGAATCACTTGAAATTCCTGAAAATGTCCACTTTAGTGAATAAAGTCCTGCTATTTCTCCATTGCACATGGTGAGGATCTAAAAACGGGTTCTTTAACTTGTACACAGATTTTTGTGGCTTGAATTTTGTATATTTGTACATCTGCAGATACTCACCTTGCAAACATTCAGCTCCTTTCCTTATAATCGCTTTATGATTGAAAAATGTTGCTATAATATGCATTTGAATGCTGTTTTTTTCTTATGCAGTAAGTGACCAGAATAGATAAATAAAAATGGTCAAATACCCGGCAACAGAATATGAACATAATGCCCACATACTGTAAATACAGTTAAATTGTATGTTTCTAAAATAAAGGTATGTAAAACTCAATCTTTACAAATCTCTGGAATACTAATGTAATGCTGACAGTTAAATGGAAGAGTCCATTCACTCCCTACCCCTCCCTGACTTCAAGAATGATATGACTCATTGAAACTTATTTTACAGTTTGGAAGCTGACATTTGCAGCAAACTTGCAGGTATTATATCAGTGTCCAGTGACTTCTGGCAGAGAATTTGATAAACCTTCCTAGAGTATAAATGAGGGTAAGTGAGGTTTAATGGATAAAATTTCATTCCACAAAATACATGAACATAAAAATGCTCATAATCAGTTTTGGCAGGGAAGTGGTATATTGACTGGTTAATCCCAGCATTGCAACACAAATTGATACAGATACAGATGTTTATATTTAGATTTTACATAATTGGTCTAGTTTCACCCTATTGCAGGAACCATAACATTCCAGCACCCATTGTTTTTATAACAGGTTCAGTACAAGGAGCTGATAGAAATGATAAATTGTTCATTGTT